TTGCTCTGGAAAGTTTGTTCTGTTTTTCTTTTCCTTCTTATAAATATTTTTTGTGTCTATATTAATTTTCAATCTTTCAATCACCACTAAATTCCCTATATTTAAGAAATGTACCCTTACAATGTAATAAACGTAATGTGAGGTGATAAAAATGGAGCAGAGTGTAGGTACCCATGCTGTCTGAGAAATCTATATTGTAAGATAATAAGATAAGAACTGGCACACATTAGATAGGAACTCCTCCCTTAATGGAAAAATATATGGACCTACTGCTGAATTTACTAAAAAAAACATTACTCAAACATACTTAAAAGAAACTGCCACATGTAAAAAAATGTAAAGAAAATATAAAACTCAACTGTTGTTATTTATATCATGTATTGACAGGCTTGTTTTGGTCAGACTTTCCATCCTAAATTCATTAAATAATCACAGAGTGGTTACAGATCCTTAAAAATATTTGTCAATAAAAATTAAATCAACAAACCAATCAGCAACAAAAAGTGTAGTCATCTACGATAAAATAACTGAGAGAGAAACAGCAAAGTCTCTGTACCACAGAGAGAACAAAGATTATATAAACATGCTTAAGCAACTTAACCTTAAGCCATTTTTTAAAATTAGTCCACCTTGTCTTACATCAAGTAAGCTTATTTTCCCAACACTATGTTAGAAAACTGCATGCTATTAAATACATTGTCTCTTGCTGAATTTATCTTCTATATATTTTAATATGCTTTCATGAAAAAATGGGAGAAAAATTAATCTGACCATGTTCAGCAGCTGAAGGCTAAAAAAATAAATGTATAACAGATTTACTGCTGAAGTATGCATGTTTTTTATCTATCAAATTGCGGTAATACTCTTACAAAGAATGTGTGATCTTATATCATGTGAGGTTTGTTGCATTAAAAACTAAACCCCAAAAAACTCTTTGGCCCAGCTTTGAAATTATTCCAGTTCTTTTTTTCATTGTAAATTAATAACCCTAAATAGGATTCAAAAAACACTTTATAGCTTTGTTAATTTTCTGATAATTATTATATTAATGTTTTTTTTATTTTAAAATGTACATTAAGTCCAGTTTGGATCTCATTTAAAAAAGAAAAATCTAAGTTCTTTAAAAAAACACTGAGAAAATGTCAACTCAAGAATGGTAAGTCAAGACAAAAACAAGATACAAAACTGTCAGTAATCACTTAAAATGATATTGTATGTAAGTTAACTCAGTCAAGCATTAATAGAAATTATGAAAAGGCTACTAAGGAGAGAAACGTTTTTGATATAAACGTTATATATCCAAGTTGTCACTGTTATTAAAACTGTTATTTAAAGATAAAAGAAGATTCTTCTTGATAATGGCATACTGATATTGAAGTTAAACTGGGTACAATTTAAAATCAAGTAAATTGCATGCTGGCATGATACTGTGGAACAGTAAATACATTCTCTGATGGCATTTCAGAAAACCAAATAATTCCGTCATTATAACTGTTGTGTTATAGGAGCAGAACATCATTCAGAAAGAACTCATTTTTTTATGTGAGGTAGACAAAAATCAAGTTCTTAGGATACAAAGAAAGTGTATGTGTTTTAAAATAATTTACATGTGATAATTGATTGAGATTGTCATTCACAAATTAGAAATTGAATTTGTCTTAAGAAAGGCTATATGCATATACTGTTGAATGGAAACTTCACAGAAATGTGAAGACTATCAAAGGTAACTTGAATATAAGGAATGTGCAATTTGTCATCATAATTGGCTGTTTTTTTCTTTTGCTCAGATCACTCCAAAGTAATTCAGAGACTACCAATGTTCAAACTATCAGGATTTCTCTTATTATTTAAGATAAGAATCCACACCTTCATAATTGTTTTAAGGATTTTTTCCTGGCTAAAATCAACATTTATCATTTGTAGGGAGTATTTCAGAGACTGCTTTGTCTTTACCCAATGAATTCACTATTTTCTGAAAGTACTTCCACAAGTTCAGCAAGAAACAGGGCAAGAGAATGTAAAAGAAAATTGTCTCAAGAGTATCTGGAGATAAAAAAGTGGTGAAAATCTTCACTGAAATAAAGCATTTTGAAAGCTTTCCTGGAAATTAATACAGAGGTACTGTAAATTGCTTTTGAGAGTTTTCCATTATCAGTTTTGATTCTTATCAACATACAATTTGAAATATTCATGTAAATGAAACAAGGCTAATTTGAGCTTTTTCTTGTATTACACTAATTTGATAACTACATTACAGAAGATAGAGAAATAAACAACCTTAAAAGGCAAAACAGCAGTTCATAATTTTGAAACCTTAATATACGTCATTACCAAGTCTAAGCTCAAAGGTTATTTTTCTATTAAACAAAAGGTTGAAACATTTTTAAAGAGCCATTATAATTTTAATAGGAAGTAAATTAGTTGAAGAAATGTCCCCAAAAATGCAATTATCCAGTATTTCAGTAATCACTAACCACAAAATAAGTATGATTTATATCTGGTGTAATTTCCTTCACTCAAAAAGTATTTTACATTAACCCTGGAAATGCTGAATGTTGTGTTGTTTCTTTGTATATTAGCAGTGATGTCCCAAATAAACATCACTTCAGAAAAGTGTTTTTTAGTAAGCTCCATTTGAAAAAATAGTCAAACCCAATTATGTAAAACAAATTATGTAATAATATTTTTTTAAGGTTTAGTGTGTAAAATTTTATTTGTAGTGTATATAATTATGGGCTTTTACAAAATAGCTTTACATGTTAATGCAATTAAATATATTCATCATATATCTGATGTCTGAACCCCCAAACTGAAATGAGTTATTATACAGTACATGCTGTTAGCCTTTATCTTCAACAAGTATGAAGCAGATCACATACTTTCAACAAATGTATTTGATTCCATGTTAAGCTAGTTTCAAAATGCAGTACTCTCAGAGACAGTAGGTATACCTTGAAATTTGAAAAAGGTGTAAAGTATACTTCAAACTGACATCTGCACATCTACTAGAATTGTTACATCAACCTTTCAATCGTCCAATTGTTTTATATACATTAATGGCTGTAATTTATTTTAAACAAGTTTAAATCAGTTTCTTCATCAATGATTTATCTTTTAAAACGAAGTGAGCACTATGTACGGCTTGAGTACGACTTTATTTTGCTAGGATGAATTACATAATTGCATCTTCTTTACTTATGCTGTGACCAGGTATGTGGTAATAATTTGCAATACATCTGCATAATCATGTGAGAAATTGCACGTGCAGTGCTCTGTATAACACATACAGTATACATTTAAAAGTCAGAAATAAACAGCGATATTGTTGCGGCTCTCCCTGTACCGCTTCTTTGGTATTTAAGGTGCTATGTCATCACTATGTAAAAGTGTTTTCAATTAATTCATATAGGCCTAATTTGGGAACATTGGGACTACGTAGGAAAAATGCACGACTTTTATCTGTTGGTTACTAGGATTTACTGGAGTAGTTTAAGAATTCATGTCCACACAAACGATCAGTGTAAATCCGTTGAAACATTATATAACACCAATCTGCAGAAAGGCAAAACAAAAACCGAAAAGGGGAAGGTGAAATTTCAGATATTTAACAACCTCCCCACTTTTCTGATTAAAGGTAGTCTGAAACCTATACTTATAATATGACAGAGGCGTTCTGAAGAGTGAAGTTATATATTACTTAACTTTTTGCTGTGTAAGATTAATGCTTTAGCAAAATATTAGTTTTTCGTGACCTTTGTCTTACAACGCAAACTAAAGGGAAACGAGGAACTCCCCGCAGACTGTGATACTGTATTCATTACATAAATCTGTTAGGGCTCTCGCCAACCTTCTGATCCCGAGTTGTTTTACCCCATAAAATGTTCAAAGTCTGAGTGCTTTGGGAGTAAGTACTGTGTATGTATGTACGTTCCTGGCTGTTTGATTCCTACACACAGTCTGTAATGCTTAAAGAAATTCGTAAGACTTACATTTTAAATAACAGTATTGTGCTAATCATTCACTACATACTACGTGCGATTTCGTAAACACTAAGTGATCGTTTTTTGTAAATATCCATTGACTCATCATGAAATTACTTTAATGTTCAAAAATGGATAGCATGTTTAGCAAACCGAACTGTTTACCACACATTGTACAGCAACTGAAGCAAAAAAATGCTCTCTCTACCACAATGTTTAAAGTAGGATAATTAACGTGTACTTTCATGGAGGCTGTATGCTTTTACTTTTTATGCGTTTGTGCAGCATACTTCATTCTATAAAGTCTAGTAAAACATCCTCAATCAAAATTAAAAATGTGATTGAAACGTTGACTTAATCCACTGCGCTGTTCAAGTTAAATAATTAGCTTTGGCTTCATCTAAAATCCCACCTGTATAATAGAAGACTTGAAAAAATGTATCCAGACGCAGCGAGTTTGGAGTCTCTCAGCCCCCTTGGCTCTTGCCAAAAGAAGGCATCATAAATAACTCGCCCGGAGGGCCGAAAGATCAAAGATCCAGAGGACATAGACAGGTGGTCACAATGAAGAGCATGAAATTTCATTAAAATAGTTTTTTCTATAGAGTAAGAAATGCATCTCAAATAATACATCTCTTCTCTTTTCTGTTAACTGCAGCAGTCATCGTTATGATGCAATTTTTTCTTAACATATATATAGTTTTAGTGGAACTTCTATATATAATCTACGTATAGAAAATTAAACATAACATCAAAATTATATTGCACAAAGTTTATACTTTAAATAATATTCTGCGAATCGAAATTACCTATTTGTATGATTTGAAATAACAATTTAACAGTTGTGTTAAATTTAGCACCGTCAATGCCGAAAACATTACATAAATTCAAGTGAACCTAGTATTCAACAGATTACCCATCTCTCGATTAAAGACTATAGGTCACATCTCAAAGATCTACTTGTACTGAAAATGTGCTGCATTTTAGGCATAGGGTACATGCAAATATCTCCAAACTTACTTCTTCCGTTGTCTTTAATGAATGTAATAATTTCTTTGTAATCATAGATTTGTGTTTCTGAGTAGGGATGAGGAAAAATTGTTACGTTTGCGTTCTTCAACATACTATAAATGCCTTCGGATAGGAAATAATAAGGACGGTCATCCTTTCTCAAGTCATGATAGATCATTACTACACGGGAGGTCCAGTTAAAATATGAATGGAAATTATAAACGAATTCTCCAAGTTTCGTGGTTGAGGGCCCGGTCCTTACAACAGTTTTGAACTGATCCTTCTGATCAAACCCAAAGGCTGGTGCCCATGCTGTTATCAGGGGGATCTTCCAATGGGTGGCAAACCTCCCAACCGAAGCGACGGAGTACACACAACCAGGTCCGAAAAAAACGTCGGGGTTGTTGTAGAGTTTTATATCCACAGCAACTATCTGAGAAAGAGTTTCAGAGCAGCCACCACCTTCATCTTCAGTGCTGGTGTTCATGAGGTTAAGGTGGTACCCCCTCAGAAGTCCGCCGTTCTTCTGAATTTCTTCATTTGCCATACGAATTGCTGGAAAGACTCTTGGAAGTGCCCAGGCGTACTTGCTATAATTATCAGGCAACATCACAGCCACTGTGATATTTTTTCCCAGATCTGTTCTACCAGTGCTTAACAGAGAAAAAATGAACATTAAAAGAAAACTACATCCAAGCTTCATTTTGTATCCCATTGCTAAGGATTCAACGAAGATGAACTATTTCAAGCTTCTTAACAGTAATTTACCGAGTAAAGACACCTGATAACAGAGATTTAAATATCGCAACCAAAGCATGTATGATTATTTTAACCCTGTAAAATATAGAAAAATCAATCCAAATAATTATCATAATAATCCACAGGTTTATTATGTTGTTATAATTTCCTAATAAATCCTTTAATGTAGTTCTTTCTCCAGGCCGTTGCTAACTTCAGTCTCATGTCGAGCCGAATCACTTCGTTTGCTACTCTTCCACGGGTCCTCTCTTGTATGTGATAGCATCCATCCAGATGACTTCAACTTAAAACATCGGTAAAAGCTGCAGCTCAGCCCCCAAAAAACGTCACGTCAGTGTAGGTGAATCATAGACGGGCTGGTGGCGCCATCTGCCTGTCAAACAAATAACACTGACTTTCAGTGCGATACAGTATTAGGATTTGGATATTACAGATTCACAATTAACTAAATTTGTGCTTTATAAAGCGTTGTTCCTTTGTTCAATTTTGTTGATTAAGAGCAGCAGAAAAAAACAGAGCACAAAGGTTAAGATTAAAAAAGATTAAAATGATGTTGGGTACACAACAGTTACAATCACTTTAAAATAACTTTTCTACCATTACACTTAAAATTGTCCCCTCAGATGTCAGTGGGATGCCTAGGGCTCCTTATTGAGGAGGGTCCTGACCTCGTATATGGCTTTGTGTATCTAAAGTATCTGGGTCAATGTCCTGTTTTCCACACATCTTCCTAGATTAGAACTGGCTCAATTTAAACTTGTTCAACCTCAACATCTTTTCTCTGATGTACTGTATATTATTTCAAAATAATGTCTATGAAATGAAGAATACCATCACTAGTAAGATCATAATGGAAAATCACAACAGAATGGAAATATCTGTGTTATATGGGAAAGGACTGCAGTGTCTCTAATACATACAATATTAGAGTAACAAATAATCAAGGGGTATACTTTTAAGAGGAACTAAATAATAGAATGGAAAACATGAAACCCCCATTTAAAAGGGAAATAATACAAAACAAATGTTACTGTATTTTGTCACTTCTGAATGAGGTTTTTGTAGTTATTGTGTTACTTGTAAATAATTCGTTTGAAATGTTGTGTCTTTTTTTCCCTTTCAGCATGGAATAAACTTTTATCTTTTACCCTTGCAGCCTACACATGCTGACACAGCTACCTACTAGAAGAAGAAAATATCTAGCTCATAGAGAGGGGTACTAACTTCTACAGATAATTAGAGGTCACAATATCTTAGCTCTCCTCCCAGGATCATGTATTTTATTATTAATAATGTGGTAACTAAAACTATTGCGAGACATTTGTCAAATATATGGAAAAAGTGTTGTTTCAAACTCTCTTATCAGTCTTTTTCATACAGTTTCTATGGGAAAAAAATTAAACAACCATGATTATTAGTGAATATTGATTTAATTGATCTTTATTTCTAATCTATTATTCTACTTAATTTGAAAAACTGCAGTCCCACGCTCAATGGAGCAAGGAGATTATATAATTTTTAAACATAAAAAAGATTAAGTATATATCGTTTTTTTTAGATGTTTGATGTTAACTAAAATAAAGATTCAAAAGACCTACAAGTAGGTCAGCCCTATAAATAGGCGATTTAGTCAAATCTGATGTATTTTCTTTCCTTCTGTCTGAGAACTTGGAGATTTATTAATGAAAGGACTCCCTCTACTGGTGAAAATAATGTCCTCCTGCCTCAGAAAATTTCATCTTTTCATCCATTTTCTAACTGCTTTGTCCAATTCAGGGTTGCAGGAACAGATTCTGTCCTGACAACCAACGGTCACAAGGCAGGATACACCCTGGGCAAGATGCCAGTCCATCACAGGGCAGACAGACACGAACACGCATTCACTTGCTCCAGGGCTAATTGTTTTCCAGTAACCATACAGAGACCATACAAACTCCACACAGATAGCACTCCAGGTCCCAGACTGAACCCAAGTTCCCAGTACTGCAAGGCAACAATGCTAACCAGTGTGCCTCTGAGATGCCCCCTCAGGATCAAAACAGTTATGATGGAAGATGAGGTCATTAAACCTGCTTAGCTCATCTGAAAATTCAGAAGAAAATCACTCGCAGGGTTTCATTATGCCATTTTTTTTAAGTTTTCCTAAAGGTCTGCTTCAGCAGACATACAGTAGCTAGGTTTGTTGTCCAAATACCCATGATGTATTCTTGTAAAAAAATGTATCTTATTTTTATTCCAAATTATCCTCATAATCTTGCTATCTATGTATCTAATTTTTTATTTTGCTTAATGTCTGCCTAAAGTAGTCTTTTAAGATGACTTTGACAAAGCCTTTAAGGTTATGAACAGCTGAATAAATACCCTCATACTCACCTCCTTTGAAACTGAAGAGTTGTAAAGTTTTAGTTATGTTTTACGTTTGTGCATGTCATTTCTTTGACACCATGAACTATTCTGTTCACTCTTCAATCCATTTCTAAAACTGCAATATAGAGGACTAAACACAATACACTATGTAATAGCCTCTTATTTCTTTGGGAAAATATCATTAGGTTTCAACAACTGGTTGTTTATTTTATATTTCAGATTTATTGATTTACAAAACTGAGCTGGGTCCCTTAATTTGATACCAAGCAATCATTATTTTTTTTCTTGAATCCACTGCACCATTCAATAGTAATTGAATGTATTTTTATTACCTTTAAATATTTAGATTTGGTTTATTTGTATAAACAGACACCTTTACTTTTAGTTTTCTTTGGCTGCTGTATCTGTATAGCTAAATAATAATAATAATAGCCTTACACTTATATAGCACTTTTCTGGACACTCCACTCAAGGTGTTTTACAGGTAATGGGGACTCCCCTCCACCACCAATGTGCAGCCCCACCTGGATGATGCAAAGGCAGCCATAGTGCACCAGTATGCTCCCCACACCAGCTATCAGTGGGGAGGAGAACAGATCGATGAAGCCAATTCATAGATGGGGATTATTAGGAGATCATAATTGATAAAGGCCAATGGGAAATTTGGCCAGGACACCAGGGTAACACCCCTTCTCTTTTCAAGAAATGCCCTGGGAGTTTTAAAGACTACAGAGAGTCAGGACCCCGGTTTAATGTTTCATCTGAAGGATGGTGCCTTCTTACAATATAGTGTCCCTGTCACTATATTGTATATAGTGACAGGGATATACTGGGCCATCGGGACCCAAATAAATGGCAGGGTGAGTGCCCCCAACTGGCTCCACTAACATCTCTTCTAGTTTTTCCCAGGAGGTCTCCCATCCAGGTACTGACCTGTTTAGCTTTTGTGGGTTGCCAGTTGTGAGTTGCTGGGTGATAGGCAGCGCGCTATCTTGACATGCCATCTTGTTCTTTTTTGTTCTTCATCACAATACTGTTTTCCTTTCCATCTCCCGATGTTTTCTAGGTTCTTTTTATGTGTCCTGAAATGTCTTCCTACCAATAGTCTTTTTGATCCAGTATTAAGCCATGTATGCCACTGAATGCATGTGAATGTGCTTCAGTACCTTTAGACGTATATTTTTGGAAAGCAATTATCCATCAGCTAGTAATTTCATATCTAACTGACCCCAATGCAATCATTCTCTCATGATTTGCTTTCCAATATTCTTTCTGTATTCTTTTCCTTTCTGTAAAAGTTGTAAAAGGTAAATGCTGCTGTTTTACTGTAGAATAACACTTTCTTACTAGAATTGAATTTTAAAGATCAACAACATACTTCTCTTACTAAAGTATAAGTATTATACATTGCACCACCATCACTATTGTCATGTCGATTTTTTTCTAAACTCAAGACTGTGGAGTTTGGTGAACTCTTCATAAAATCTTCCTCTATATCATAGTAAAAATGTATGAAGTCCCACAAACACTAATATTTTCTTGAACCTTGTACAGATTAAAACTTTATCAAGCCCCACAGGACCCACTGATGCTACTGTAGATTAGTTTCCACACTACCCACTAACAATATAATGACCCCCAAAGTACCCACTACCACTACTTTAGTATTCACATCAACTAGTAATTTTGCTATATTCACCTCAAAGTACCCACTAACACTATTCACCCCTACGATATACAGGAGTTATACTATATTCACCCCATAGTACACACTAACACTATATTCACTCCATAGTACCTACTAACACTACATTAGTCCTCACACCTCACAGTACACACTAATACTATATTCACCCACAGAACCCACTAACACTACACTAGTCCTCACATTACATAGTAACATTTCACCCTCACTAACACAGTACCCACTAACACTGCATTAGTTCCTGCACTACCTACTAACACTATATTCACCCCCACTAATACTAAAATAGTTCCTACAGTTCTCACTCTAATGCTACTAACACCCACCAGTACCCACTAGCACTACAGTATAAGCACCCCCACAATTCCCAGTTAATGCTACATTAGTCCTGACAGAATGTTTTTCATTGCCACTCAAAATATACTTAAACATATATAACCTCAGAAACAGATGATAAACATTCTCTAGGACAGTGGCATTTCAGTTAGCACTGCTGCCTTACAGCTTTTGGAAAATGTGTTGAGTTCTGGACTGGGGCACCTTCTGTGTGGAGTTCAGTGTAAGTTTTCAGCAGATGTTGAAACCAGGTGGTGGTTTCCTTCCACTTTCCAAGGACATTCTGGCTAAGTCAACTGGCATCTCTAAATTGTGTGTGTGTGTTTCCTGTGATGGACTAGAATTAATCCCTACATGTAATATCAGCTAGTGCACTGTGGTTCCAGAAAGAGCTCTGGGTTAACAAAATAAAAAGTTTTCTGATGAGAAAAATGCTCATTCCATTTATAGAATCTCCACTGGTTAGCGTTGAAAGGATCGAAGAGAGAGACAAAACTTACTAGCACTTGTCTAAGGGCAAGACTGAAAAAATAGATGACAGTTTGGAAATCATCCTTTCCTCCCTGGAAGCTCCAGAGCATTCTAAAATATGTTACATTTTACATTATGCTTCAAAATGTTTTTCCAGAAAGCAGTATTAAGAGCTCGGGAGACATTTAAATATCTTTGTAAATTTATAAAAGAAAACTGTTCAGCAGAGTACAGATCTCAGCATTGTTGATTCAAGTAAATGGAATGATCAGGCGGAAAAGAAAGAGAAGCGCCACATAGAATCAGAGAATACACAAAAGAAATCCTGCTGGAAGAATCCCTGAAGATAACACAAGACTTCA